GGCCCGTTGCATGTGGCATTCTTGGTAATACAAATTGAGGTCAGGAACGGCCAGGCCTCCTGCTGTTTTGGGGAGTGTGAGTTGTGTGTATTTGAGTCAGATAAATTTAATGAGGAGGGTGCGGATTGCTGAGAAGAAGGAAGTAGGGAGTGAGATTGGTAATGTCTGAAATAAGTAAAGTACCAATGGGAGTATGTTCATTTTGGCGATGGCAACCCTGCCAAGCCAGGAAAAGTGAGGTGTGGCCCATTCCGTCAGATTCTTCTGTATGGTTCCCAGCAGTGGGGTGAAATTTATATGGTATAGTTTGGATAGGTCGGCCGTGAGCCTCACACCCAGGTATTTAATAGTGGTGTCCCGCCATTGGAAGGGGACGTTTTGTCGGATTTGGTCTGCCCTCCTCTGGGGGGACCCAATGTTGAGGATAGAGGATTTAGCATAATTGATCTTGAGGTTGGCGATTTGGCCGTATGTCTTAAATTCTGCCATGAGGTTTGGGAAGGAGATTTCTGGGTTAGTGATGAAAAATAGCATATCATCCGCAAATGCTGCAATTTTGTGGTGGTCTGCCCCCACTGTTACCCCCGAAATATCTGGGTTGTCCTTTACCGCCTGTAAGAAGGGCTCCAGGGCCAAGATAAAAGTGGCGACGGGGGCAGCCCTGCCTGGTTCCGTTTCTGACCGGGAATGCATCCGTATACACCCCGTTTATGCACACCCTGGCCGTGGGGGATGAGTAAAGAGATTCTATCCACTGGCGCATATGATTCCCCAGGCCGATGTGTTCCAGTACCGAGAATAGATAGTCCCACGCCACCCAATCGAAGGCCTTCTCCGCATCCGTAGAGAGGAGGAGAAGGCTCTCCGAGGTGCGCTGCGTGTGGTGGATCAGAGAGAGAGCTCGGACCTTATTATCCCTGGCTTCTCTGTAGGGGACGAATCCCACTTGATCAGGAGAGATTAAGTCTGGTATGTGTGGATTCAACCTTGTAGCTAGTATTTTAGCGAACAGGCGTAAGTCGCAGTTAAGTAGCGATATTGGCCAGTAGCCCGTACACCGTTCAGTATCTCTCCCCTCCTTTGGCAACAGGACAATGTTGGCCGCCAGTGTTTGCTGAGGGATTGTATTTCCCTCTGTTATGGAGTTGAAGGCCGAGATATATTGGGGGGACAATGTGGCCAGGAAGGATTTGTAGTATTTGAGGGGGAGGCCATCTGGGCCTGGGCTTTTGCCTGTCTTTGAGGTTTTGATGGCCAGGGCCAGTTCCCCCTCCGTCAGTGGCGCCTCCAGGGCCTCCACTGCGTCTGAGGAGAGTTTGGTTTTGGTATATTTAATGAGGTATACGTTCATGCTAGTTGCTCCCAGTTTCGGGTCTGCTCGAGGGGTGTGGGGGTGGATTGCGTAAAGGTCTGTGTAGAAGCGTGTTACAGCTGTAGCAATTTGGTCTGGGATGTGATGTAGTTGGCCTGCGGCGTCGCGCATGCGTGCAATATATGTTATGGAGCATTTTTTATTGATCATTATGGCCAGCAACCTGCCGCACTTGTCTCCTTCCATGTAGAAAAAAGATTTAGTGTGCTGGAGGGCCCTAGTGCATGATTGCCGCAGGACCCCTGCTAGTTGTTCGCGGGTTGCTGTGAGTTTCCCGATGTGGTGAAACCAACCTCGCCACTGTACACTGGAGAAGCCTGGTTGCTCGCCTGCTGCCTTTGGACTATGGCCCCATGTTAAAAGACATCTTTTTTCCCTGCAGTAAAGACTTATTCATGCTTTTCTGCCGGGTGTTCGGTAGATTCAATCTACCGAACAACCGCACAAATGAATAGACCACCTGGGAGCTGGAGTGTGCCGGCAATTAACCTCCCTGAAGCTGCGGTTAACCGCAGCTTAATTGACGAATGCTCGGTGGCCGCCATTCGTATCACGAACACGAGTTCGCGGCCATTTTAAACATGCGAATGCACAGCGGTGTTCGACGCTTAATTCATGGAACTGAAATCGGATACAGTTTTGCGCGAACACCGCTGAAGCCGCCGACCTCCCTTCTTGTTCGGTGAAAGTGCACGAATGACCTGGTGTTCGGTAGTTTTGTTTGAGTGTGTTGTGCCCCAGATAGGAATCCCATGGAGCCCATTCGCATGAAACTGACTGTGTAAAGACTTTGGCTCCATGGCGATTAAACTGTATTTGTGTGGTCTGAGCGCCATTCGCTTAATAATGTGCGCTCAGACCTGAGCTATCTGGGGATATGTAGAACGTAGATTCAATCTACCGAACAACCGCACAAATGAATAGACCACCTGGGAGCTGGAGTGTGCCGGCAATTAACCTCCCCGAAGCTGCGGTTAACCGCAGCTTAATTGACGAATGCTCGGTGGCCGCCATTCGTATCACGAACACGAGTTCGCGGCCATTTTAAACATGCGAATGCACAGCGGTGTTCGACGCTTAATTCATGGAACTGAAATCGGATACAGTTTTGCGCGAACACCGCTGAAGCCGCCGACCTCCCTTCTTGTTCGGTGAAAGTGCACGAACGGCCCGGTGTTCGGTAGTTTTGTTTGAGTATGTTGTACCCCAGATAGGAATTAAACTGTATTCGTGTGGTCTGAGCGCCATTCGCGTAATAATGTGTGCTCAGACCTGAGCTATCTGGGGGGATATGTAGAAGGTAATGTTTTATGTACTGAATGTAACTGTAGGTAATTTTATGTCTTTTACTGTTTGTTTTCTGCCATGTAGTTAATGGAGTTTTGCCTCTGTCTTTGGAGATAATTGAATTACTTCTCAATTATCTCCAGAGCAGAGAGGAGGGATTGTGATGCATTGTGGGATGGTTGAAATGTGTAAGTCTGTGATTGGTCCTTTTACCCTTTGTGTCCCAGTCTCCCATTTGGTCCCCTAGGGGAGTGTCCACCAGGTGGGAGACCTGCATAAAAGCCGGGCAGTTAGCCCCAGTAAATCAGTTCCTGCTTAACCTTCAAAGTGAAGTGTCGTCTCATTATTGGGGGGAGGATTTACTGTATGCTGTTAGAGACTGATTGCCAGGCGTGTAAGCTGCTTGGGGGCTTTTCCTGTTCGTCTGCTAGCAGCTATTCGTGTGTCTCCAGTTCGGGAGTTTGGAGTGCTACTTGGTATGCAGTTCGGGAGTTTCGAGTATTCCCTTGGTTGCAGTTCGGGAGTTGGTGAATTTGTGGGTTTGCAGTTCAGGAGATTGGTGCTTGCAGTAGCTGTCGGTGCAGCTGAAAAAGGGGAATATCGCCTAAACGTTTTTTAACCTCTTTTGGGCAAAATGGTCCGTTACACCCGAGAAGTGTGTCATCTAGTGTTCGTTTGTGGGCCTGTGTTAGCGTCCCTATCTTGGCGGTTAGTTCTCGGATCATGTGTTCCCGTGCCTTTTTCAGGGCAGAGGAGTTTGAAATAAGGATCCCTCTAATCACACACTTGTGGGCCTACCATGTCAAGAGGGGGGATGTGTCCTGTGGTAAGTTCTCGGCAAAGTAATTCATCAGGGCTTGTTGTACGTCTTGGGCCACCTGCGGGTTGGATAGGAGGTTTTCGTGGAGCCACCATGTCGTGGTTTTGGGTTTGTGTAATGGCGATGTTAGTTGAATCGTGAGTGGTGCGTGGTCGGACCACATTGTCCCCCCTATGGCAGAGTCCCGCAGTCTGGGTAGGTAGTAATATGGAAGGAAGAAGTAGTCGATGCGTGTGTAACAGTCATTCGGGGCCGAATAGAAGGTGTAGTCCCTAGCCGTCGGGTGTGTCGCCCTCCAGCAATCCGTAAGTCTGTACTGGTGGAGAAGTTTACGTATTTTGAGCAGTGTGGGGGGGGGTGTCGATGGGTGGCCCCTGGATGCGTCCAACGTCGGGTGTAAGGCGATGTTGAAGTCCCCTGCCAGGACCAGACAGCCTGTCGTGAAGTCGTGGAGGGCCCGGACTGTGTCCCGAAGAAATTTGTCATGTCGTGTGTTTGGGGCGTAGATGTTGGCAAAGGTATAGGTTTTATCCAGGATTTTACCCCTAACAAATACATATCTGCCCGAGTTATCCGTCCTGGTCGAGTCAGCTACGAAGGGTATGGATTTGTGTCTGAGTATTGCTTTCCCATTAGATTTCCCGTCCGGGTTATTGCTGTAGAAGCCCTGGGTGTGTATGTGGTTAGAGTTTTGGTGCAGAGTCGATTTTAAAGTGAGTTTCTTGGAGATAGACCACATGGGCTCTAGCTTACTGACAGAGGCGTAGTGCATGTGACCTCGGGGGAGTTTAAGCCCTTAGCGTTTAGGAATAGGAAGTTGCGTGGGACTGGTGCGTATTTGGGTGCGGGTGTAGCCATATTGTCAAGTCCCACGAGCGTCTGTGTCGCCCCGATCTCTGGGGCGGGTGAGAGCCCAGGTAGGTAGAGCCCGGTCCAGGGCAGGCAGGGCGGAGCGAGGTAGCAGGTAGCCCTGTGCGGCGGGGCACGCAGGGGGCCGCACCCGTAAAGGAGCAGAGGCACCAGTGTCAGGGGGGTAGAAATACCCCGGCCCAGAAACTGGAGCGGGGGATAACCCCCCCCTATACAGAAGACACCAACCTCACGAGTAGTAGAAGGCGCCTCATCAACAAGCCAACAGAGGTGGCTGTGGATCACAACAAACACTAACAGTTGTAACTCAAAAACCTTTGATATACTTCTATCGCGTCCCCAGAGTGAGTCTCCCTGCGTATGGTCGGGTTCCAGCTTGAACTATGACCTCTCTGTGTTACTTTTGTGTGTCTGCGGGAACTTACCCCCGGGTCCCGACATTGTCTAGTCTGAAGGGGAGGTGTATGAGCCGAACCAGGGCTTAACCCCCTTTCTACAGCTCGTATGTCTAGGATACGTGCTTGTTTAAGGATAGTCTCCTTTAAGGCAAAATTCGCCAGGCAGCAAATGACATCCCTGGGTAGGCTATCTGGCGTGCCCTTAGGACGGAGGGCTCTATGAGCTCTTACAAATTCTATAGGTGCCTGGTGGTCACGGTCTAGTTTCCTGTAGTTGCTGGGGGGAGTCCTCAGTTTCAGGGAGGCCGCGCAGCCTTAATTTATTGTTGTCCAAGTCCTCAATGTGTAGGGACATGCGACGTACCTGTTCTGAGGAGGTTTCTGCAGCCTCAGCTAGTGTGTTCTGGGCCTTTCTCAGGCTGTCACGTGGCTCATGCAGTTTGTCAGCCCTCAGTGCCTGAATGTCTTGCCTTATTGTAGCTCCCAGCTCTGAGGTGGCCGAGCGGAGGTCTTCCTTTGTGGGCAGAGCTCTCAGGAGGTCCATCCATGGGGGTCTTTCAGAGCCTCCCGTGTGCAGGTCGGATGCCGGTGATGAAGGCGCGGAATCTTCCGACGCCATTGATCCGTCTGCACCATGCGGCTGTGTCGTGAGGTCCGCGGGGATCACCAGGAAAGAGGTAAGCTGTCCCTTTTTAGGCTCTGGAGTCTTCCCGGTCTGTGGGGCTCTATTTGATCTCCCCATGTCGGCAGAGTAGCAGGCAATTTGGTGTTGGCTAGTCGGGACCCGTGCGGAGGAAGAGTTTATGTGGCCATTTTCGTCGTCGGCTGCCAAGCCACGCCCCCCGTCTCTTTCTCTTTGTCTATTTAAATGTTTCTTTCTCTTTGTCTATTTGTCTCTTTCTCTTTGTTTATTTAAATGTTTCAGAAAATCTGTTTGTCTTTGTCTATTTAAATGTTTGGGGAAAGCAGTCTGCCTCTGTTTCGATGTTCAGGGAAATCTCTTCCTCTATATCATATCTATTTGCCCATTTTAATATTTAAACAGATCTCAAAAACCGCAGTGCCTGCTTGTCATAAATTCTCTATATTTAAAACTTAATGCCCAGAGGGAAGGGCAGTCCTTCAAGCCATGGTTCCCCAGAGGTTTCCTACACTGGAGGTTTTCCCATTCTTAAGTGCTGAAGGATGACTCTTTGTAAGTCCAGAGGTACCCGACAACCTAGTTTTCTGGATGAATTTCTAATAATATCCAAGTTGTATATAATCCCATAGTTCCCTTTATATACCAATAAATGACTACAAAATAACACTAATTTAACTATTTAAATGTTTAAGGAAAGCTGTTTAAATGTTTAGGAAAAGCTGTCTCTCTTTTTGTATTTCTGTTTAAATGTTTGGGAAAGTTAACTGTCTTACCGTCTATTTTATAGTAAGACAGTCTCTCTCTACTTAAATATTTAGGGAACGTCTATCTCTTTTTTTTTTTTTTTTTTTTGGGAAAGCTGCATTTGTGTCTGTCTATAAATGTTTGGGGGAAACTGTCGGTCTCTCTCACTATATAAATCTTTAGGGAACACTGTCTGCTTAAATGTTTGGGGAAAGTTATCTGTCCGTTTACTGAAAGTTTGGGAAAATGTTTATCTTTCTCTGAAATGGAAAAATCAATCAAAGTATTGATTATTTCTTTGTGTATCTGCCCCTGGCCAAATCAATGAAACAATGCGTGCACGCTCCCTGAAGTAATTCACACCAGACACAGGTTCCAGGTTGTTGAATAACTTGAGGAAAAGTTTATTCAGAGGGGACGGCAAGTCCCTTTTAAAGCAAAATTACATCATAAGCATAGTCAGAGATAACATGGAATAATACATCAATAATTGGTTAGGTGTTAAGTGGTTGCTCTAATGCTCTGCCTACTGTGGGTGATGTCACCGGGACCATGAGGGTCTCCCACGGTTTCCCGGCGCCATCTTGCTGCACGAGGTAGTTAGTCGATGTTAAGAAGGGGGGGAAAGGAGGGGTTAGAAGCTTCTAGCAGCCATCTCGATTAAAATGTGTGCTTAGCTTTATATGTGATATATCGTGAAATGAGTAAATAGACATTTTCTCCAACTAGGAAATATGTGCAGACCTTATTTCCACAACATTCTCTTTGTCTATTTAAATGTTTTAGGAAATCTGTTTGTCTTTGTCTGTCTATTTAAATGTTTGAGGAAAGCAGTCTGTCTCTATGTCGATGTTCAGGGAAATCGCTTCCTCTATATCATCTCTATTTGTCCATTTTAATGTTTAAACAGCTCTCAAAAACAGCAGTGCCTGCTTGTAATAAATTATCTATACTTTCCTCTTAATGCCCAGAGGGAAGGGAAGTCCTTCAAGCCATGGTTCCTTAAAAGGATTCCTCCACTGGAGGTTTTCCCATTCTTAAGTGCTGAAGGATGACTCTTTGTGAGTCCATGGGGTACCCAACATCTAGGGTTTCTGGATGTATTTTTAATAATATCCAAGTTATATATTATCCCTTAATTCCCCTATATACCATTAGATTATGAAAAAATAACACTAATTTAACTATTTAAATGTTTAGGAAAAGCTGTCTCTCTTTTTGTATGTTGTTTAAATGTTTGGGAAAGTTGTCTGTTTTACCGTCTATTTTAAAGTTTGAGGAAAGCCGCCTGTCTCTCTTGCTCTCTCTACTTAAATATTTAGGGAACACTGTTAGCCTATTTAAATGCTTGGAGAAAGTTGCCTGTCCGTTTATTTAAATGTTTGGGGAAAGTTGTCTATCTCACTATTTAAATCTTTAGGGAACATTGTCTGTCTGCTTAAATGTTTGGGGAAAGTTATCAGTTCGTTTACTGAAAGTTTGGGAAAATGTCTCTTTCTCTTTGTCTATTTAAATGCTTCAGGAATTTTTTTGTCTTTGTCTGTCCATTTAAATGTTTGGGAAAAGCAGTCTGTCTGTTTTGATGTTCAGGGAAATCTCTTCCTCTATAATCATCTCTATTTGTCCATTTTAATGTTTAAACAGCTCTCAAAAACTGCAGTGACTGCTTGTCATAAATTCTCTATATTTACCTCTTAATGCCCAGAGGGAAGGGCAGTCCTTCAAGCCATGGTTCCCCAGAGGTTTCCTCCACTGGAGGTTTTCACATTCTTAAGTGCTGAAGGATGACTCTTTGTGAGTCCAGAGGTACCCGACATCTTGGTTTTCTGGATAAATTTTTAATATCCAAGTTATATATCATCCCATAATTCCATTATACACCAATAAATGACTAAAAAATTAAACTAATTTAACTATTTAAATGTTTAAGGAAAGCTGTTAAAATGTTTAGGAAAAACTGTCTCTCTTTTTGTATGTCTGTTTAAATGTTTGGGGACGATATCTGTCTCTCCGTCTATTTGAACGTTTGAGAAAAGCCGCCTGTCTCTCTCTCTCTCTTTTTACGTAAATATATAGGGAATGCTGTTAGTCTATTTAAATGCTTGGGGAAAGTTGCCTGTCTGCTTATTTAAAGGTTTAGGGAAAGTTGCCTGTCTCTTTTTTTTTTTTAATGTTTGGAAAAGCTGTCTTTGTGTCTGTCTGTTTAAATGTTTGGGGAAATCCGCATGTCTCTCTCTACTTAAATATTAAGGGAACGCTGATAGTCTATTTAAATGCTTGGGTAAAGTTGTCAGTCTGTTCATTTAAATGTTTGGGGAAAGCTGTCTATCTCTTTTTTAAAATTTTTGGGAAAGCTGCATTTGTGTCTGTCTATTTAAATGTTTGGGGGAAACTGTCGGTCTCTCTCACTATTTAAATCTTTAGGGAACACTGTATGTCTGCTTAAATGTTTGGGGAAAGTTATCTGTCCGTTTACTGAAAGTTTGGGGAAATGTTTGTCTTTCTCTCTGTCTATTTAAATGTTTTAGGAAATTTGTTTGTCTTTGTCTGTCTATTTAGATGTTTGAGGAAAGCAGTCTGTCTCTGTTTCGATGTTCAGGGAAATCTCTTCCTCTATATCATCTCTATTTGTCCATTTTAATGTTTAAACAACTCTCAATAACTGCAGTGACTGCTTGTCATAAATTCTCTATATTTACCTCTTAATGCCCAGAGGGAAGGGCAGTCCTCCAAGCCATGGCTCCCCAGAGGTTTCCTCCACTGGAGGTTTTCACATTCTTAAGTGCTGAAGGATGACTCTTTGTGAGTCCAGAGGTACCCAACATCTTGGTTTTCTGGATAAATTTTTAATATCCAAGTTATATATCATCCCATAATTCCCTTATACACCAATAAATGACTAAAAAATTAAACTAATTTAACTATTTAAATGTTTAAGGAAAGCTGTTTAGATGTTTAGGAAAAACTGTCTCTCTTTTTGTATGTCTGTTTAAATGTTTGGGGACGATATCTGTCTCTCCGTCTATTTGAACGTTTGAGAAAAGCCGCCTGTCTCTCTCTCTCTCTTTTTACGTAAATATATAGGGAATGCTGTTAGTCTATTTAAATGCTTGGGGAAAGTTGCCTGTCTGCTTATTTAAAGGTGTAGGGAAAGTTGCCTGTCTCTTTTTTTTTAATGTTTGGAAAAGCTGTCTTTGTGTCTGTCTGTTTAAATGTTTGGGGAAATCCGCATGTCTTTCTCTACTTAAATATTAAGGGAACGCTGATAGTCTATTTAAATGCTTGGGTAAAGTTGTCAGTCTGTTCATTTAAATGTTTGGGGAAAGCTGTCTATCTCTTTTTTTTTATTTTTGGGAAAGCTGCATTTGTGTCTGTCTATTTAAATGTTTGGGGGAAACTGTCGGTCTCTCTCACTATTTAAATCTTTAGGGAACACTGTCTGTCTGCTTAAATGTTTGGGGAAGTTATCTGTCCGTTTACTGAAAGTTTGGGAAAATGTTTGTCTTTCTCTCTGTCTATTTAGATGTTTGAGGAAAGCAGTCTGTCTCTATTTCGATGTTCAGGGAAATCTCTTCCTCTATATCATCTCTATTTGTCCATTTTAATGTTTAAACAACTCTCAATAACTGCAGTGCCTGCTTGTCATAAATTCTCTATATTTACCTCTTAATGTCCAGAGGGAAGGGCAGTACTTCAAGCCATGGTTCCCCAGAGGTTTCCTCCACTGGAGGTTTTCCCTTTCTTAAAGGACCACTATAGTGCCAGGAAAACATACTCGTTTTCCTGGCACTATAGTGCCCTGAGGGTGCCCCCACCCTCAGGGACCCCCTCCCGCCCGGCTCTGGAAGGGGAAAGGGGTAAAAACTTACCTTTTTCCAGCGCTGGGCGGGGAGCTCTCCTCCTCCGATCCTCCTTCTCTCCTCCCCGTCGGCTGAATGCGCACGCGCGGCAAGAGCTGCGCGCGCATTCAGCCGGTCACATAGGAAAGTATTCATAATGCTTTCCTATGGACGCTGGCGTGCTCTCACTGTGAAAATCACAGTGAGAAGCACGCAAGCGCCTCTAGTGGCTGTCAATGAGACAGCCACTAGAGGATTAGGGGGAAGGCTTAACCCATTCATAAACATAGCAGTTTCTCTGAAACTGCTATGTTTATAAAAAAAAATGGGTTAACCCTAGAAGGACCTGGCACCCAGACCACTTCATTAAGCTGGTCTGGGTGCCTAGAGTGG